GTAAAGATTAGATCTAAAAATTTTTCTTAATTACATCACCAAAAGCACCAAGAATAATAAAAGATGGCTCTAAGTTTTAAGCACAGTACAAGTAATTCTTAAAAGTTAAAATTATTTTTTTTCTCTTAATGCACCAATGATTCAATCTCAAATTCCAAACTTTGTTAAAAATGAATAAAATTTAACATGAATACTATTAAGATTAATTAAAAGCATTCATAATCAAAATTTAAAATTCTTCAACCAAACATCTAAGAATAATAGGATTTCAAAACTAATTCTATTATATAATTTTAAGACTTATATAATGATATTTCTTTAAAGTTTAGTTAAAAGAGTCAGAATATCATTTTAGAAACAAATTAAAAATTTAAAGTTCTAAAAGTAGAGTTACAGATTAGTTCTGAGAGGTAGAGTTGCAAGTGAATTAAAAGTTAGAATTAGGGTTAAAGCACACAATTAATAAGTAAAAATAAATTAGGGAATATTAGGGTGTTCTATTTTTATTTTTTAATTAAATTAATGAAATTATTATCTTATAAAACAAAAGGAAATATTTTAAATAGTAAAAAAATATTATTATTTAATTAAGTTGTCTTGTAATAAGATTTTATTTTATAATCAAATAATTTGAACAATTTAAAGGTAAAACTATAAATCAAACTAATTATATGAATTTTAAAATTTTATAATTCAAATTAATCTAATTTTATAGTAATTTAATTTAATTTTTTATTAAAATAGATCAATTTATATTGGACCACTAAATTTTAATAGGATACAAACACTCCTACTGGTCATGATTTTGAACTTTAACCATTATTTAGCCATTAAATGTATCTAAAAACATTAAATGTATCTAAAAACTAACCTATGAAGTTTGGGGCAATTAATGACAATATTAAAAACCTCGAAAGTACAACTTACGGGCAAGTTGCGCTGACAAAGAGACAATTAAATATCCGCCCCATGGCTAATTTTCAAAGGGTTTTATTAATTTGTGTATTAAGATATATATTAAGGGTTTTAAAAGAATAAAAAATAATATTTAATTTATTAATTATTTAATTAAATTTATTCACATAATATTGATTTTAAAATTAATATTTGTTTTTATATTTTTTATATAAATTTGTTATAAAAAAATAATTTTAACATATACTTTAAAAATATATATTAAAAAAATTTAT